GGTGTTGTTGATCTGGAGAAGTGCTTAAAAAAAAAACTTTTTCACAGGTTTTGGTCTGATTGGCAATGGAGAACATCGCAGAAGCAGGATAAGAAAATGATAGTCTAATCGTTAAGTATCAACATTTATGGTTTGTTCCGGAAGTTTGACAAACAATAATAATTATCATGAGTAAGATGTGACATCACACATTTAATGTTCTATCAGACAGGGATAAGATCTGATGTTTAAAAAGAGTAGTATTATAATGAAAATAAAAGCATGTTTACATGCGCTAGAAAGTTTGATCAACATTTTTTTTTAAAGTTTATTCATATATTAATTGTTTATATTTCATGAACAATGACTGATTGATTTAACTGTTGTAGTGAACGTTCAGTAAACAATGTCAAAATATCATACGAAGAGTTTTTTTCTATTCGATTTATTGAAAATTTTTCAAAGGATTCTGTATGATAGATACTTCATTGTACAAGAAAAGATCATTGATAGTAATTTATCGATCAAATGTCTGTTAAGAATACACACATTAAAGAAACACTTGTCATTGTAATTCACATTATTTGATTGTCCCGTTTGATGTTCATCATCATTATCTAAGTCAACAATAAATGTTAAATGGTTTGAAGAGAAGAAAAAAAAATGACTGACTCTAAAAGACTAAGTCTTGATTATGACATCGTACGTCATTGATTCACAATTTCTAACTGTTTGTTCTTTTGTACTTGGAAATATCACATGTGTAAGTATCCAAAGGCTTTTAGAGAAGATGATAGTGAAACACAAATAGAACGCAACATTAAACAAAAAGACAAATATGATACATCATCTATTGAAAAGAATAAGATTAATTATTGCTGTCACTATTATCTTATTTCTTTATGGAATGAACCAGTCATAATGGTAATTGTTCATAACTGTATAACAATAGATGTGAGATGAAGAATTTATTTTTTTCTCTATTCGGCATGAGAATAAAATAATAAATGTATACCGTTCACAAAAAAAAAGCTAAAATGAAGGATTATATTTATATGTATGCTGCCTTTTAGGCGATTTCTTTCCGTTCGTCCCTTATCACATTTCCTAAGTGTGTGGTTGATTGTATATGTTTAATGTTGCACACATTCCGTTGACGCCGCTACTATAGTTGCCATCATCGTTTTCTTTTTTTTTGTTCATATCCGTGTGGTCAGTCGCAATAAAGGTGCTCTATCTTTCTTTAGCTGCAAGGAAGTGAGAGAGAGAGAGAAAGAATCTTTTTTTTTATGATGAATGATGTCTCACTGGTAGCCATCGTTTTTCTTTTCCTTAATCATTAGAATAAGATTACACCAAGTGCAATCAGTTAGATTAAGAAGAATTGTCTTTGCATATACTTAAATGTACATAATAATAAACTGATTAAACAAATGAGAGGTAATACGATTATCTAATACTGTCTCGTCTATTCGACTAATGGTTAATTAGTATGAAATATCTGTTTCCTAATCTATCTTCTAAATAGTATATATCAGGATGGTATTGACCAACAAAAAAAGACCGAGTTCAAATCTATAGAGACTCCTAATATAAAACACGAAATATGCGAGTAACATTTATAGTTAGAAATTGTAATGAATTGTATTTCTATTCATCACTATAGCATGTTTTCTTCCCATGGGTCATGATCGCATGACCAAAAAAAAAAAAATCAGTCAATTATAACGATGATTTCTTTTTTCACCGCTTACACTATCTTATTTCTTCTCTAATAAGTATGCTTGATTTTTGCTGTACTTAAATAACTATAAAAGTTCTTTATATTTGCTACTTAAGTGTTGCGAAGAATAGATTAATGTACATTAGCAGGAAGAACATACATATATAAAGATGCCCTTTTCTTTCTAATATAAGTGTGCTCATAGAAGCGACTCTTTATTAATATGATAGACAAGAGTGGAAAGAATGAAAAATTTGAATGGATTTTTTTCATAAATTGTGTATATAGGTTAATTGAGTCTGATGACCTAATTAAAAAATATATCAATAGCCTACATTTCAATTTGATCATCACTCAATTAGAAAAAAATACAGAAACTTGAATGATTAGGAACATAGTATTTATAGCCATAAAATTACTTTTTCTACAGAAGTTGTCCACATTTAAATTCCCATTATGTTGTAAATTGTTTGAAAATATTTTATTCTGATTGAATTTCGAGTTAAGATATTTTATTCGTTATAGATTAGTCATAATATTTTTCAAAGCCAATATTTCTTAGGACCTTGAATTACCAAAGTTCATTTATAGGTTATTTAAAGATTTTGTTTTATTGTTTAGAAAGTCAACGCCTTCCTGAGTAAGAATGCGGTCATACTTAGAAGTTTCTGTCAGTCTAGTTCTATATCAGCAAAAACAAACTGTCTCATCACATTTAATTTATCAAAAGACACATATTACGAGAAATTCATCAGCGAAAGACTAAAACAAAGGCTGAGAAAAAAAAATGCTTCGGGAGAACTATTAGTTTTTTTTCTAAAATCTTATGCTAAAATAAATACAATCGAATTTACCTTTTTATGTGCTGTTACTGAATTAGACTGACAGAAGTTTCTTATTACAACCCCATTGTTAATCAGTTTGTCTGTATTCTCACTCTGTAGTAAAAAAAGGATCAACTTTCTAAACAATGAAACAAAGTCTTTAAAAGTCCTATATATGAACTTTGGTAGTTCTAGGTCAGACATTTTCTCTTATCTCTCTTATAAAATAAAAACTACATGAATTGACCAAGGTTCTAAGGAATACTAGTATTAAAAGATATAGCGATCACTGTATAACGAATAAAATAATCTTATCTCACAACTAAATCTGAATAAAATAATCTTATCTCACAACTCAATCTGAATAAAATATTTTCAAACAATTTACAAAGTAATTAGACTTAAAATGTGGGTAACTTCTGTAGGAAAAGTAAATACATGGTTATAAATGCTATTTTCTTAATCCCTCGAGTGTCTTTAGTATTTTTTCAGTTGAATGTGATAATCAAATTGAAATTGAAATTAATGATATTATATTTGGTATTAGTTGATAAAAGANGTAAATTGTTTGAAAATATTTTATTCTGATTGAATTTCGAGTTAAGATATTTTATTCGTTATAGATTAGTCATAATATTTTTCAAAGCCAATATTTCTTAGGACCTTGAATTACCAAAGTTCATTTATAGGTTATTTAAAGATTTTGTTTTATTGTTTAGAAAGTCAACGCCTTCCTGAGTAAGAGTGCGATCATACTTAGAAGTTTCTGTCAGTCTAGTTCTATATCAGCAAAAACAAACTGTCTCATCACATTTAATTTATCAAAAGACACATATTACGAGAAATTCATCACCGAAAGACTAAAACAAAGACTGAGAAAAAAAACTACTTCGGGAGAACTATCAGTTTTTTTTCTAAAATCTTATGCTAAAATAAATACAATTGAACTTATCTTTTTATGTGCTGTTACTGAATTAGACTGACAGAAGTTTCTTATTACAACCCCATTGTTAATCAGTTTATTTGTATTCTCACTCTGTAGTAAAAAAAGGATCAACTTTCTAAACAAAGTCTTTAAAAGTCCTATATATGAACTTTGGTAGTTCAAGGTCAGACATTTTCTCTTATCTCTTATCAAATAAAAACTACATGAATTGATCAAGGTCTTAAGGAATACTAGTTTTAAAAGATATAGCGATCACTGTATAACGAATAAAATAATCTTATCTCACAACTCAATCTGAATAAAATATTTTCAAACAATTTACAAAGTAATTAGACTTAAAATGTGGGGAACTTCTGTAGGAAAAGTAAATTCATGGTTATAAATGCTATTTTCTTAATCCCTCGAGTGTCTTTAGTATTTTTTCAGTTGAATGTGATAATCAAATTGAAATTGAAATTAATGATATTATATTTGCCATTAGTTGACAAAACACTGTTAAGCCATATACACAATGAATGAAAAAAACCTATTAAAATTTTATATCTATATACATTTTAATACGTATAATTTGTAATCACGACTTATGAAAAAGAAGCAGAATCGTATCTTCAATGTAATTTATATAACTTCTGGTATGTTGTAATGTCATTGAATCGATGAAAATAAAGAATACTTGATCAATACGGTGTATCTCTTTTGTAATATTAGTAAGTAAAGAGAGCAAATATTTGACAAAGTCAGTTGTGAATTCGACTTAACATTATGTAAGATCTATTCATAGGGCAATTGAAGCTCGACAAGAAGAGAAAAAAAACGGAAGCTATAAAATAAATTCTACCTCAATCATCACTAACTACTTGTTCGATGAGTGAAAAGTATTGCGAATGGTTTTTTTTTTTATCTTCTTTTTCTTGACGAGCGCATAATAGGACTAAGAACGATGAAGGACACCTGAATTAAGAACAAGTGTGTACGGATATATATAAATATATATGCATATACAAACGAATGCCAAGGATAGGATAAAGAATATCCGTAAGATTATTTCTCCGGTATTTATTGATTGATAAGTTGTGCTCTTTAGAAGAAAAACATTAGAAATCAGTTACGGCAAATTAACTTCAAAATCGATCTTAGATTAAGCAAATGAATGATCGATAGAAACAGAATGAATAGTAAGGGAAGAGAAAAAAAGAAAGATAATATGTCTAGAGACGAGAGCTATATTGTCTCCGAGGAAAAAAGCACTCATCCTAATCAAACTGCCCTCTGTCTTTGCTATAGCTATAGAATTATCATACGAGCATTTGTTCTCTTTTCATACATATTGAAAGAAAAGAAAAAGATACGATATAGAGATATTTGTAGTTCATGACAAAACACTTTTTTTTCCCTTTCTTTTCATTTATCTAGCAATCGCTAATATCATCATCATCATCATCATCATCATGTGGTGTTGATCTGTCAGTATACACAACAGGTCATTTATATTCTACTGTTGAATGAACATATCATTACAATCGAAACTATGTTAGGCTCTTATCGATTACTTCTATTGGTGAAACTTATTCTCTTTGAATTACTCGAACTAAGTAAGCAAGTTCTTTTTTTTTATATTTTGAAATTTATATCTTAACTAAGAAAAATATTTATTTTTTCTTTTATTTTTGGATTCAGAATGTATTGAAGATAATTCATTTCGTCGTTATCGTCGATTGCATTCTTCTATTAGTAATAATAATAATTCATCTGTTAGTTCATTGATCTTTATTGTATCTGTGTCAGTTAATGATCATTTTGCTGTTATTAATTGCTCAACACCAGAACGTGTTCCACATCATAAACTTGATTGGTATTTTCAAACACATACTTCTTTAAAGCCACCTCGTGTTATTTGGCAACGTGGTCGTTCAAATATTCATCGTTATATTGCTTATTCACCTGATCAAATTCGTCATTTTTTACAAATTAAACCTATTTATTATAACGATAGTGGAACATATATGTGTCTAGATCAAACTACTGGGTTCTATGCTGGAATAGATCTTATTGTTCGTAAGTTTTTTTGATTTCTTTTTGCTTTATCAAAGTCGATAAATATTTTTTCTTTCTTATAGATGACAATCATAACTGTGCACAAAGTATTATTAGTTTACAAACGACAACATTTATTTGTTGTATCTTATTTTCATTAGTCTTACCACGATATTCTGCTAGTGAGAGTCAAGTAAAATGATCTTCTTACTCGAAATTCTTATATACAATTTCCGTCCATAAATGTTTTTGCTTTATTATTTGGATATGCAAGCATAATTTACGCTATGATAGACATCTAAGGAAATAAGTGTCTTTTTTTGTTTGTTTTAAATATAATTATTTCTAAGATATGAATATTTGAAATCTTGATTGATATGTTAAATATTATCAATGAATAATGTTTAAATCATAAGAACAAAAATATAAATATAGTTCAAATCATAAAATAAATAATCGTGGAATATAATATCGAAAAATAAGAAGATGGAAAATTAGGAAAGAAAAAAAAACAACAAAGTTTTATGGTCAGTTTTCTCGTTGAAGAGGAAGACGTAATTACAAAATTAAAATCAATGTTTTTTTTTGACTAGGTTAATTAATCTTTTATATATTATAATCCAAGAGGTTTTTCTATATTTGTATCATAATTTCGTATTAATTGATCTTGTGGAACAACACCATTTTCTTCTTGTGAAAAAGCAAATCCATCTAAAGAACAAAAAAAAATACATGTATAATTTATTTAATATTAAAACTCTTATAAATAATTACAATAAGGTTTATCAATAATTCCAGTTGATTTTGTTGTTCTTGTTCGAACAAAAACATTTTTTAATAAAGCTAATCGTTCAGTAACACGTGAAACTGTTGATGGTTGTCTTGACATAACTAAATCAGATGGATCTTGATGAGCAACTTCTTTTTCTTGTACTTCTTGCATTAATGTTTTAAAAAAAGTTCGTTGAATACTAAAAAACGAATCAAAACGTATTTTATCAAAAAACAAAAAGAAACTTTTATAATCCTATAAATTTTTACCAATTATAAATAAAATCAGCTAATAATGTTGTTATTGGAATTGATATTAAACCAAACCAAAAGCATGGACTTGAAAAAACATATTGAACCTTAAAGAAATAAAGTCAAATATTAATTTATAGAATTTTATCAAGTTCAAAAAATCGAATCATATTATATTGATTTAACTTACCATACCACGCATTTCTGATGCAACTGGAAATGTTGGCCATACATAACTGTATACAGTGAAAAAGATAAACCATGAAGCAATACTTCCCCAAATAGCAATATGTGTAAACTAGTAAGAATAATTTCATATGAGAAAAATTAAATTGTACAACATACCATTGTCCATGAATCACTTTCGAGTCCCGCTTTAAGACAAACGACAAAGACAACATACTAGAAATAAAAGTAATCTTCAGTTTGTCTTCTATCAATAAGTAAATAGATAAGCAGCCACACGCACAACATACGGTATAAATCATATTGCCTAATAGTAGAGAAGTACCCACTTGTCCGTTGCGAAATGCAACGTCTATAGATAGAGAAAAAAAAATAAACGGTGAAGTCACATGCAACTATTTCTATTCATATGTTAGGAGAAGTTAAAATGTGCATTATAAGGGTTAGAAAAGCAAATTATTCTTAGGCCTACAGATAGATTGATATTAGTAAACAAAAAACCTAAATTTACAGTATAAATGCAGTTGCCGAAAAATAAATGATTGCCGAGAACAATTCCATTAGAATGCGCAACATCTAAATAGTGTAAATTTTGATTCTCTCATTGTTTTTTTTTCTCTAAATTTATGTTTTTTAGTAGAAAATTAAAATAATAAATATACCATGTTGAAGCATAGAATATGTCATAAAGTAGAGAACAATGGAATGATAGACCGCATTAAGACACCAAGTCCAAAAAATCTATCAAGTAAAATCGTTTTTGTTTTTCAAAAAAGAAAATTCTTAAAAAAATTGAATCGAACTTTAATATTAAAATCCGATCGATTTTGTGACATTTTATATATAGCTGGAAAACGCATCATTGTTTCTGCACTACAACTACGATCTAATAATCCAAGTGCCATTGGTGGTGCTGCAGTAAATAATACATTATAGATAGCAATTGTCCATCGTTCAAATAAAATTTGACCAGAAAATCCACTATGTAATGCAAACCAAAGCTAATAAAAGGAAAATTTCATATTAATATATTGTTCTTTGAAATCGACTTACCTCCATAACGTAAAGACAAATATTTTTATAAAATGAATAAAGTAATACTTTGCATAAACGACGATAACTCCATACACCATGAACAAATAATAGTTTAGTTAAAAATCGAAATTGACCAATAGTATAATCTGATGCACATGCTGCTTGAACACCTTCACGACCTAATATTCCAACACCTACATGTGCCATCTAAAATCAAAGATATGTATTAGTTTCGGTCTTGTATCTGTCAAACCATACTCTTAATGAAATTTTCTAATTCGAATCTGATAGTTGCTCTGAACAGACGGGCTAGAGATACAATGATGATGATGATAACTAGTCCATCGGTAACCAATCTAACGTTGAAGACCAGTATTGTGCTTAATTTAGACTTTTTCAGCCTCTTAAACAAGTCTGCAGGGGTCGGCGTTATGAATCAATCTTTTAGAAGCTAAGAAATTACATTTGAACGAAGAAAAAAACGACTTTTTTTGCATATAATTAAAGGTGGTATCTTTATCATCTATAGAGTAATATAAAAATCAAGAGCTTCAGAACAATCATTCAGAAATAGCAGAGTTCACTTTGCAAATCTTTTTTTTCATAGAAATTGCCTAAATTGACACAGTCTTCTCTATCCGAAATATTCACTATTAACAAATGACGTGTAGTAAACTAATCATTAGTGTACTATTTTATAGAGAAATACTTGTTCTTTGATTCACTGTATTTGAAATAATTATAACTCCAAAAACAAAACCCCTAAAGCAATGTTGAATCTACATTCAGAAAGAACACAAAATTCTGATTCTAACTCAATTTTTTCAAGAACATGTTGTCAAATTATTTGTCGATTATTTATTAATAAAAATACCGGTTTTTACTGTACGTTTTTACCGGTTTCATCGTTAGACCGATGATTGACCATCACCATTACATCACTCAGACGAAATCTGTTTTTTTTTCCCGGCTATCTGTATTCTGTGTCTAGCACATTCCTCTGATAATCTTATAATAATCATTTTATGATGATCTCTTACTCTATATATAATTATTCTTACCTGAATCATGCCTACATCATTAGCGCCATCACCAATAGCTAATGTAATTGCATCTGTTGATTTTTTAACAAGTTCAACAACTTCTGCTTTCTGCTTTGGACTAACTCTACAAATTAACACTTCTATTCTTTAGTTCTTTTTTTTTATTCAAATAAATTAATTTATCTTACCGACAACAAATAACTGTTTTACATGACATAGCTAAATCAAGAAAATCTTGACGACAAGAAGCATGTAAAGCATATTTAAGTGTTTGTCCTTCGATGACCAATGAAGCAAGATTTTCTTTACGTAATGAATCACCAAATTGTTGACAATGTTGACGTAATTGTCTTTGTGTATCCTATCATCAAAAAATGATATTCAAAGGAAAAAAAGCTCAACACAAAATTTACATCACGAGTTGCTTCATCTAATGTTAAATTAAGCATTTGATCGGATAAAAGTTTACATGAATAACCAATATTTACTGCAGTCTCTTTTTTATCTCCTGTCAATACCCAAATCTAACAAATATTTTAAATAGAATAAGCAAAACATTTTTTTTTAAACTTTTAATATTTACTTTAATACCAGCTCTATGTAACATCGTAAGATTTTGTGGAACTTCCTATAATATTAATATATATATATATATTTAAATAAAGAAAAATTTCAAAAGTTTACATCTTGTAATTTATCTTCAATACCAGTTGCACCTAATAAAATTAAATTTTGTTCAATTTTATCCGCTATTTCAGCAACTAATTCATTTCGATTATTAATTGCTGTTGATGCTTCTCGATATTTTACTAACCATTCCTATTCATTAATAAAAAACAAAAATAAAAAAAGAAATAAAACTTCTCTTTAATCATATTTACATTATATTCTTCAGTAGTTAAAATTCGATAACCAAGACATAATGTTCGAAGACCATCATTAGCAAAACTTTCTAAATGTTCAGATGTTAATTGTACATTATTATCCTGTGATCCAAGACGTTCCATAATAACACTATCCTAGAGGAGAAAAATCAAAATTCTTTTTTGTTTTTGGACAGTCTGATCAATATAATTAAACTTACAGCGCCTTTACAATATAATTTAATTTCGTTTCGAGGTGTTTGAACAATCACACTCATTCGTTTACGATCACTTTAGAAAATAAAACAGCAATATCATTTTATTAAAATCAAATTATATTTAATAATTTACCTGCTAAATTCCAAAACATTTAAAATTTGATATTCTTCTTTTTCACCACGCTACAGAAGTATCAAAAAATAGATTAAGAAAAAAAAAAACAAGAAGTATCTTTTTGTTTTTTATTTACAAAGTTAATAGTCACACTCGTGGGTGTACGACTAAAAAAAACAACACCCATTTCTTTCATTACAGTAACTAATGCATATTCATCTATAAAAATAAAATAAATGATTACGTGTGAATTGAATTTTATTTTATTTTTACCTGGTGATGATGCTTGATAAGATGCATCGGTTGGTAAATCTGTATGCATTTTATTTTCTGGTACAACTGTATGACATGTTGCAAGTAATGTTAGAAATTCACGAATTTCATTACGTGTATCCTAAAATAAAATAAAAATACTCCTTATTCAATTTTTCAATTCTAGTAGAGATGCCAATCGTAGCTGAAGATATAAATAAATTTTGCAGTAGTTTTCTCTATACCAAGACCAAAAAAACTTAGTTCCATACATCTCTAATCGCGATATATATTTTATTAGAACGTTTCTAATACTGCACGTATAATTTCAGATTGTTGTCGAGGATTTCCATTATCAAGTTTCAGTAAAGTGTATATAGATCGAAAACGATCGCTACCGCGATGATCATCTCTGAATTCTACTGAAAAATATTGTCAGGTAAAAACTTACATGTTCTTCTAGATTTTTAAGTAATTCATAACTATTAAATTCACTTAAATTTCCTGATCTAAAAAAATATAAATATGAAAGATTAAACTCTAAAATAAAATCATGCTTTTTTATTTAACATACCCATACATAATACCAGCAATAGAACATTGTTTAAAAACCATTTCATTTTTTGTTAATGTACCAGTTTTATCCGAAAAAATATATTTAACCTATTGAAATCAGTAAAACAAAAAAAACATATTTTCCAAACGAAAATTTTCTTTACTTGACCAAGTTCTTCATTTAAATTCGATGTTCTTGCATTTGCTGGTGTATCTGTATCGGGATCATACATATCTTTATCCTAAAAAACAAAAATATTCAAATCTAAACTATTATTCTTCAAGCGACGTACCCAATTGATGAAATAGGCTTGAATAAATTTGACTAGATCAACTGTTATTTGTAATGAAATTGGAATTAAATTATTAAATAAAATAAAAAATGTTAAAAATGTGTAACCAATATGTTGCCATGCTAAAAGTTCCCAATAAGATATCATGAAAAAAAAATTCATAATTTTTAATTACTTTGCCCATTTTCATCAAGATTTAAACCAAGATACCAGTGTTTCTCTTTATTTTTATAAGTCCAAATTTCTCCAGCAATCGTACTGATTACACATAAGATAATCAATAAAAGAAGTAAAAATAAAGTCTATGAACCCGAAAGAAAAAATAATTTCTGAAACAAATTTTAATATATTCATATTTACTTGTTTATTTGTCACTTGTTCGACATTTGTTCGTTTAAGTGGAATAGCAGATGAATTCTAAAAATCAATCAATTTAACAAAAAAAAGATTATAAAACTTCTTTTGTTGTTTTTGTGAAACACGATCTAAAAGGAGTGTTGAAATTTCGTGGTAAAAACTTGAACCTCACCCTCTCCCTCACAGACCAATGCCAAGATAGATAGCATAAAGAACTCGTCCTGTGATAAGCAACAACGGCTAAATCGTATTTCACATTTCAATCTTGCAGGGATTGTGCGAACAGGTTTTTTAAAAAATTTCTAAACTAACCATCATTAATTTTGTATCATGTCCACTATAAATAACAACTCCATAAATCCATGTCGTATTTTTTAGCTGCGAACCCCGTAAAAGTATTTGATCAGCACCTAATGGTATAGGATAAGTAGCACTATTGACTTTTAATGTTCCAGCAAATTCATATAAATTTCTATTTGGTAATTCACATTCGACTGTTCCTTGTAAATCTTTTAATTGTAGACTTGATTTTATATGAGAAGTTTGGGGTAAACCCTATAAGAGATATTAAAATTTATTTTATTTTTCAAAAAAACAAAAAAACAAACCTGTCGAACTTTAAGATTTGTTTCTCCATCAAGATTTGATGTTTGAATATAACATATTGAATTTGGTTCACTAAAAATTCAATTCAATTAAATTAATAAAAATTAGAAAAACTAATCATACAAACCCAGAAGAAATTAAAACAAGATCAGCTGGAAAATATTCTTTATCAATAACTTTAACAATATCACCAACTTTAACTTCTTGCCATGCTGTAAACATCCAAGCTCCTTGTCGATAAACTAAATCAAATGAATTCGATTAAATTGTAAAAACAAAATGAAAACAAATCATATTTTACTTAAAACTTTTCTACGATTGACTGCATCATCTTGTATATGTCGTTTCTAAATCAGAAAAAGGTTTTATAAAAAAAAGAAAGCAAATAAATTAAACTAACCACATCCTCAATAATTTCTTTAATCGCAGCACAACAAAGAATAAATGTTAGTGGAACAGCTGTTGTATATCTTCCTGTTGGTGATACACCGGGAATTTGCTAAAATAAATTTATTAATAAAAAAATAAATTCTAAATATATTTATATATATATGTGTTTTTGATGTACTTGAAATATAACAATACAAAGAAAAAATATATTTGAATATTTTCGAAATTGTTCAAAGAGAAATTTGGGTAAAAATGTTAATATAGAATATTTGCTTGTACTAATAAAATTTGATATAAATTTAGCTGGTTGTGGTCCACTATTAATTGTTATTATTCGTTTTTCATCATTATTAGGAAATGTTGAATTTCTACCACCTCTAAAAGAGTCACTTATTCGACGAGAATAACGATTTATTGAAGAATTTTGTCCCATTAAATAAGTAGTGAAATATCAAACGATAAAGTAGAATCTTGATTTAAAGATAATAATTCATAGAAAATCAAATTGAGAAAAATCAAGTGATGAGATATTAAAATCTAAAACCAAAAGTAGCAACGGGTGCAGTTTTTTCTAAAGATAATATGTTCTGAATCTTGAAAGAAAAAAAAAGGAACCATTAAATAAAGTAAGTTAATAGTACTTGAGATGTCGCCTTACACTAGCGTTGTTAGTACAAATGTTTATTTTTATTTGCAAATCTACATTTTATTCAGAGAATAATCATTTGTGCAATATTCATTTGTAATTTGAGCTTTCTTGTCAATTCTAATATCAATTTAGAAATTATTTATTTCAATTTGATGCAATTCAGTTTCAATATTCTATACAAAACAGAGGATAACATTTTTTCATTATGACTAATTGATATAGATAACGATCATATAATTGAGTAATAGTTTTAGTTGAAGATTTTGATAAATTAGATTTTGATGTGCATTTACAGATGATAGATGTTATTCACTTGAATGAATAGCTGTTTTATTGGGTACACCGACAGTTGAGCACCCGACAGTTGAGCCCCGACAGTTGAGCCCCGCCAGTTGAGTTCCGACAGGGTGGAGCCCCCGACCGTTGGCCCCCTAAACAGTTGAGCCCCCGACCGTCA